TAACTTTAACACCATCCTTGCTAAAAAAAACAAGAAAAATAACATCTGGTACACAGAAAGTACACTTAGTAAGTTTAGCATAAAGTTTATTTTCATGTAAAGTAGAGAGCACACTCGAAAGATGTTTAGCATGCGAAACTTCATCTCTACTATACACTAAAATATCATCAAAATAAACCACAACAAATTTACCTATATAAGGTCTAAGCACATGGTTCATAAGACGCATAAAACTAGAAGGAGCGTTAGTTAAACCAAAAGGCATAACCATCCACTCATATAAACCAAATTTAGTTTTAAAAGCGGTTTTCCATTCATCACCCTCTTCATGCGAATTTGATGATAGCCACTAGCAAGATCTATTTTAGAAAATATGCAAGAGCCATATAGATCTTCTAACAAGTCATCTAGCCTCTATGGGATGTCTATATTTAATAGTGATTTTATTCACAGCACGACAATCCACACACATACACCATGTTCCATCTTTCTTAGGAACTAAAATGATAGGCACTGCATAAGGACTTAAAGATTCACGAACCACACCTTTGTCAAGGAGTTCCTCGACTTGACGTTGCAGTTCCTTAGTCTCCTTAGGGGTTCACCTTGTATGCAGGATGATTAGGAATTACAGATCCTGGGATAAAATCAATTTGATGCTCAATTCCCCTCAAAGGTGGAAGTCCCTTTGGCAATTCTTCTAAAAAAAATCCTCATAATCCTGGAAAACAAATTTAACAATACTAGGAATATTTTCAATTGGGTTAGTGTTAGTTAAACATAAATCCTTGTAAATAATTAAAACAAGTGGAGTGCGAGTATTTAGAGCCCTCCCAAGGTCTCCCATAGAAGCATAAAAGCTGTCTTTTCTCTCCTCAGCTTTTGGCTTTTCTCTCAAACTCTCACTCTCTTTTGATTCTCTTCCATTCCCCAAACTCTCTTTTGACTCTTTCGACTCACTTTTATGTCTTTTCTCTCTCTCTCTCTCTGTCTCTGCATTTTTTTTGAGATTCCATGATATCCATAGGAGATAACGGACACAATACAATAGATGGACCATGATGCACAAGTGAATACTGATTTGTCTTTCCATCTTTGTTAGCACCTCGATCTCATGGACGTCCCAACAATATATGACATGCTTGAATTGGAACCACATCACAAAGAACTTCATCCTAGAACGTTTTTAAAACATAAGAGTAATCGAGCTTGCAACCATACCTTAATTTCGCCATGATATTGTAACCATTACAACTAGTAAGGCTGAGGATGCTTGAACGTAGGAAGGTTCAATTTCTTGACAAGTTCCATGCTCACACAGTTTGTGCAACTTCCTCCATCCACAATCACAAGACATGTATTATTATTCACCTTACACATTGTATGGAAAATATTGGTGCGTTGCTCGAGATTCTTGTCTTGAGCTGGCTGGATACTAAGAGCATGAGCTAGTACCATAGCTCGAGATATGTCTTGCTCATAGACAACCTCATCTTCACTCTCAGAAGCTACCTTATCATACATTTGACTAGTTGTAGCTTGCTCGGCTGTTGCTAAAACCATATTAGATTGATTCTGCACATCTTCTTCTTCACTTTCATAGTACCAATCATCTCAAAGTACTATTACCTTCTTATTGGGACAATAGGATGCATAATGTCCTCTTCCTTTACAGTTAAAGCATTGTACATTGGCTGATGAACCCGGTTTAACACTAGGTGTCTTCTCCAATGGCTTGGTAACCTCGGCCCGGTTTAAGCAACTGTTTAGGTTGACTAGAACTTGGAGCCGTCTGCTTCTAAGGAGTAGTCCCCCACCGATTTGATCCAAAGGATGATGTACGAGTGGAAGATGTCTTTGCTTTGCTTGCGACCGAAGATTCCTTCATTTGCTTCTCAATAGTGTCGGCCTTATCCACCAAATCATCTAGATCATGATAACACTGTAACTCCACCGTATGTTGAATGGGAAGGTTCAAATCATGTAGAAACCTTGTTATAGTGTGTTTCTCATCTTCTTCCAATTGACATTTATGCTTCAAAGTATTCGTGTCTTGGTAGTATTCCATGGCCGAACTACTTCCTTGTTTATGATCTTGCAACTTACCTCGAAGCTTCCTTTGAAAGAATACTGGGACAAAAGCCTTTCACATTACCTGTGAAAGCTCTCCCCAAGTGGTGATTGAGGGATCATTGTCTCTTCTTCTCCGACGTTGTACCTCATTCCACCATGTAGAAGCAGATCCATGAAATTCTGACACAGCTAAATTCAGCTTCTTTCCCTCAAAATAATTGTTGAGATTACAGATCCAGTTGATATGATCTTCCCAATCAATATACGCATCAGGATCTGGCTTGCCACGAAATTCTGGAATTTTCTGTTTGATAGTGTTCATGTTATCATCAAATCTAGGCTGCCTTTGTCGATCATGCCTAAATTCTTCTTCATGCTCAACACCATCATCATCATTTTGTTCCCCTGGAGTTTCTGTTCGCTCTCCTTGACCTTCTTCTTCTCGGTCACCATCTTGTCCTTCATTACCACGTCTACCACCTTGACCACACCCGGCATTGCCACGTCCGCCATGGATGTTCCTACGTGCAACAAGGTTAGGTCCTGGATTTACCAATGGATCCCTAACTTGGGCAAGTTGGTTTATTTGATGAGCAGTTTCTTCTTGTTGGCGAGTGGTCTCTTCTTGTTGTCGTTGTTGTTGTGCCATTGCCATCGTCATAAGTTGCAATTGATTGGTTAATGCCGCAATATTATCTTTAAAATCTTGCACAATATCATTTAACATTCCATGTTGAGGAGGAGGTGGAGCTTTGTCTCCCATGTTTCCTGAAACATAACTCAACACACACAAGAAAAAGAATATGGAAGAACTTCCTAGTTACCCCTCCCAACTATTCTATTCACTCCACAAGTTCTCTCAAGAAGGTTTAGAATTTAGTAACGGATGGATTCACTCTTTTCTTACCACTATCTTTGTCTTTTAATTCTTTACTGCAATGAAGAATAGTGCTACTAGAAGTACTTTATTGAAACAAATAAAGAGGATCAAAAAGTAAGGTTCTGAAAACAATTGTAAGAAGATCTAAGGAAGAACACGAATATAGATCGAGTAGTTACAATTATGAAAACTTAGATCTCACAAAAAGGCTAATAGAACTTGGAGCAAATTCTGAAAAATAAAAGCTTCAACTTAGGGTTATGGATAAAACCTTAGTTTTGGCTACTTCACAAATAAGGGCCTATATTTGCAAAAACCCTAGCCACCAAAGATCCAAATATTTTTGAAAAAGATATGTGCAAATAATAGTAGTTGCACTTCAAGTCAAACTCAAATACCAATCGCCATCTATGGCGTCTTTCTTTTTATTTATGAACGACTTTTTTTTTTTTTGACTCAAAACGTGGATTAGGGATTAAGATACCCTAGATCCGAAAATTAAGGAGAAGAAAAATGCTTTTTTTTTTTTGACTAATAATGGATCAATCAACTCAAACTAGAATACAATCGAAGCAAAATAGTGAGATCTATAACAAAAGACTCAAAAGTTTAAAAGAACAAATGGAGATCTAAGAAAAGATGAGCTTTAGTAGATCAAAACAAAAGCAAGTCCTCAAGAGCCGAAGCTCAGATAACCAATTGATACAAAATATCAATTTTGTGAGTGACTCTACTTGTGTCTTATCTATTAAGGCAATGTATCTAGACACCTTTATAGACTTAATACACACTAGCCTAATGAAGATAAAACTCCAAATACAAAGAGATATTCTCTCAAAAGAATCTTATCCTTATCTTGAAAAGAATCTTCCTGAGTTGTCAACTGTATCAATATCTTCTTTGTCGAGTAATCATAGCCATCCAGTCTTGATCTAATCTTCATCCAACGGTAGAGCGTAGACACCAATGAATAGACTTCTTATTTTGAATAAACTCTAAATCAGATAAAAGAGAATCATATCAAATCTTATCCTTCCATGTGATAAGATTTAAATGATTTTATCCCTTAAACATAGAGATTCTAATTCCTAAAAATTAGGAGATAGAGCCGGCCTCCCTTGCTTTGTTTGTGGGCCGAAATTTCCTTCCTCAAATGGGCCTTGTAACACATTAATAATTTTGGGCTTGTATCTTCCAGACTTGACATTCTCTTCGGCTAAACCATTTGATATAAGATTATTAAGTGCACTCTTCATCTTTTTAATTCTAGCTCGAGTCGTTGGGCCTCCAATGTTGGATAATGGATCTTGAACCACTCATTGAGCTTGGACAGTACTTGGAACCTGAACACCTTGATCATCTTGGACTTGATTACCATGGATGTTCACATCAATACCATTTTCTGTCATCTTTTGGGTGGAAGAATTGCAAGACTAATATTATATTATTTTTTGTTTGTTTTTAATTGAGTATGAGGTGATTACATGCATCTACAAACATATGGATCCCTAATAGCGCCCCTGTATGAGATAGAAATCTCTTTTGAGTGATATAATAGCAACTTATCATCAATTATGCTCAGTTTGAGTACTCTAGCTAGTTGCATTATTCGATGCAATTGATTAGTTTGTGCACGAAATCTAGTTGAGTTTTGGGTTTTGAATAACATATCTTTTGATTATGCCTTTGGGAGCATGTCTCCATTTGACATCCCAATGGTGGTTGAAATACATTGATTTTGTTGATTTTGTATCATCTGTTCTTTGTATTTCAATCCAAACAAGTACAAGATTTCCGCTACCATTTAGTTGTAGAGATAGTGTTGTTGGAGGTTGCTAGCAGAAATTCAGTTTTACCATCAGTTATGCCAACAGCTAACTTACCATCCGATATGCTAAGATAAACCATAAGAACGAAATATGGTTCAATGAAGCCGTGAAACTTTATGGAAACATATAGTAATCCATAAAGGGCATGTACAATAATTTAAAAATCCATGACTCCCAAAAGGTTTACATATACTCATAAGCAATCTACATTGAAATAATTACCGTACTCTCTGGATAGAACCATAGGCACTAGACCCGTCGGAATCACTCCCAACATCAGCATCATCACGATCACTACCAGCATCAGAACCATCAGGATCACTCCCAGAGTCAGAACCATCACGATCACGCGTAGAGTCAGAAACAACATCAGACACATAAGGATCAAACCGCCCATCAAACTCAGTGTAGTCGGCTTCACTTTCAGTACGTTCAGAGTCAGAACCACTGTCACTCCCTCCATACTCATTTTCAGCGTCCGAGATAGCGTCAGGCCACATCATTACCCCTAGAATCATGTGCCTCCTCATGGAGGTGCAGATCAACATGGAAACATATGGTCGTGGTCTTGGTGCATTAGTAGCACTGAAATGAAGGGCCCTAACATAACACCAAAGTTGAATTGTATGATGTAATTAAAAAAGATAAATCATAAGTACATAGGTGGAATTTTTTTTTTATTCTCCTTAATGCATAATGATTGAACCAAACGGTATCAAACACAATCATATTCATTGCTGTATTTTTAATCATATTCACTACCTAACAATCACATCCATTTACATTGTGATTAAACAATTTGAACCATAGGCCTCCTAAGAATCATCGATTTTGAGGTATGTTTTTCACTTTGTGTATGTTGTTCAATTCTCGCATAATGAATGACCATATTATTTCTTTTCCTCTAAAATTTTCTTTCATATTCCTTGTAATTCCCCAACTCACGTCGGGACTTACTAACAGTCGTTTACTAAGAACGATCAAATATAAAAATAAGGAAAAACTTTTATTTATAATATACCAAGTCGGCTTATATGTTACAAGGACATGAACTTCCTCTTATTCTATTTCACAAAAGAAAAAGAAATGAGTCCACTCAATGAATAACCTCACTCTATAAATAGAAAACAATCAACTTGATCATCATCACCCTAAGGAAAACAAAAGAGTACACAAAATGAGCAAACACGCAATGAGGTTTCACTTTAAATAAACAACCGATAAAATGATTTAATATGCTAAAAATAGATCTTGTAAAAGCCACAGCATAACATAACTTTAGCACATTAAATAAACATCACACATTAAAAGGATATGGCTGCTTCAATCTTCAGTCCTTGCAAACCGTCAACAATGCCCAAACACTTATGGCCATTCATTTTGATAAATCTGCAGATTACCTCTAGCCGATGACCAAGCCTTTAGCGGCTCCTCAATTTCGAATTCTTAGAAAGGGCGTGGATCCACTTCACTTTTACAGCACACAATTCACTTAACCAATATCACATAAACACATTCTTTCGGAGTGATAAAGTACACCCGAAGCTCCCAAGCATATAATATCACAAATAGTGAAGCACTCACTTGGATTTTGTATATTACAAACAAGCTCCGACAGGTAATCCACTCAAACATTTCAATTAGAATCAATTAGAATTACTGTTCATGTTATGAAGTAAAAATGGAATAAAAGAGATCATGGCATCATATTGCCTCGTTTCTATTTGTTTATATTAGTACTAATACTTTGATTCATGAACAAACTCCAGCTCATAAACTCCAAACCCAATAGACAAAACAAATCAGCAACTATGACGTGGATTGTGGCTGAGATGTGGTGCGTGCCGAGTTCACCAAAAATATTACTAGCTTAGATCGTGATTTTTGTAGATAATGAAAGCTAGGTCGATCCCACGAGGATAGCTGATTACCAAATTTGTTGTTAAAAAACTACCAGTTTAGACAAGGTGTCACTTAGGGGAATGGAAAACAATCACTAAGGGGAATAAAAGCCAGGGGTGTTCATCTCCTCTTCCTACTGCAGTAGTTGTTTAATCAGTACTGTAATGGTTAAGTTCTTGTTCATTCAGCTCACTTATAACTCTAAGTCAGTTCTCATTTTTCCTAGAGTCATCTTTGTAACCTTACAATCTATTTTCCAATGATTGATTCCAGTTATAAAGTCATTAAGATCTCAGGTTTACATGAATGCTTATGTCAACTAAGTATATTCCTATCTTTCCAGATAGGAATCCAAACCAATCCAAACCAAGTTTATCTTTCCAGATCTCCCTTAGTTCTAACATGCATTCAATTTAGTGATCAAGTAAATGAATGTAGAAAAAACTTTCAACTTCAAAACAAGGAACAAAACCAGTGCATTACAACAACTCCAACAGAGGTTGAGGAGATTTACCCCTGGAAGCTACTTAGCTACTCATGCAGATTAATGCTACATCTATTACATCAAAAGTCATCATAGAAGTATGCATCATAAAACGAAGTTCAAGCCTTGGTTCCCATTCGTCTATGATGGCGTTGAGGGCTTCTTCTTGGAGGACCCTAGGTGGTTGTGGAGGCGGCGGCGGTGTAGGTTCCCGGTGAGGGGAAGGTTGCCTTTCAGGAGAGGACGAGGATGAGGAGGAGGATATCCGTCTTCTGGTGTTGGAAGCATTTTTGTGGGCAACAACCTTTCTCCTTGCCGGCGGCATGATTTAGGAACCTAAATTGAATTGGTAAAGTGATGGGAATTGGGTCTAAATTGAAATTTTGCCTTGGTTACCTGAAATCTCAGAGAAGGGTCAGTGCGTTCACACACAGGGGAGTAGTATTTGAAGAGTTGGCTCTGGAAGAAGAAGAAGATGAAGAAGACGAAGAAGTGGAGGAGTTGCAAATTAATGCACAACAGTTAAAATTTTAGGGAAGTTGTAGCTGACCCGAGTAACTTTAAAACGGACACGGTTAAATTTGAAATTTGAAAAATTTCTAGAAAAATTTTCCCCCCAAACTTAAACCATGAAATAGAGTTCAAAAAGGTGAGCTTTTGCAGAAAGTGTTGTACAGTTGTACTTACTCAGGTGAGTGATTTGTCCCACTTGCGTGAGTGATTTCAGAGTTTGAAAGACTTTACAGAATCACGTTGCTATAGGTTCACTCGGCTGAGTGACCTTCTTCACTCTTGGGAGTAAGTTTACCTGAGGCCTTTCTTATGTTGCACTTTTTGAAATCCGTTGGGGTGATAGACACCTTATCCGTTCCTGCAAAATTGGAATAGCACAAAGTTAGCCACACAAAAAGCAAAACGTATGGGTTGCCTCCCATAAAGCGCATTGGTTTTAAGTCTTATGCCAGACTTTAACAAAAAATTCAATTGAGCTCCTTGAGGGCAAGGACGTGACCGTCCTGTCCCTTATTCCCTTCTTTCAGACCAACTTATGTCATTAGTCTCTGCCCATTGACCAAAAAGGTGTTGCCATTCTATGGATTCATGATCTCCACTGCTCCTCGATTTAAAACCTTGTTGATTTTGTAGGGACTGGTCCATCTTGACCTCAACTTCCCTGGAAAGAATTTCAGCCTGGAATTGTACAACAAGACTTCTTGTCCTTCTTGCAGGTCCTTCTTCACAATGTGTTGATCATGGTAATCCGTAGTTTTCTCTTTATAAACTCTGGATGGTTCATATGCCTCCAGTCTGAATTCTTCAAGCTCATTCAATTGCATCAATCTAAGTTCTTTGATTTTTCCTGGATCAAGATTCAACTCCTTCATTGCCCAGTAAGCCTTATGCTCCAGCTCTATTGGCAAGTGGCATGCTTTCCCATAGACCAGTTTGAACGGGGACATACCAATGGGAGTTTTATATGTTGTTCTGTAGGCCCATAAAGCTTCATCCAACTTTGAGGACCAATTCTTTCTGGTAGAGTTGACAACCTTCTCCAGGATTCTTTTCACTTCCCTGTTTGACACTTCTGCTAGCCCGTTTGATTGTGAGTGGTATGGTATTGATACTCTGTGCCTGATCCCATATTTCTTCACCAGGGTTACAAATGACTTATTACAAAAGTGTGATCCTTCATCACTGAGTATCACCCTGGGTGTACCAAACCTGGCAAAAATGTTTTTCTTTAAAAACCTGAGAACAGTCTTAGCATCACTGTTTCTTGCAGCTACGGCTTCTATCCGTCTTGAAACGTAGTCTGCAGCTAGTAGGATGTAGGTGTTCCCAAAGGATGACACGAAAGGACCCATGAAATCTATCCCCCAGACATCAAATAGTTCTACTTCAAGCATGTTCTGTTGTGGCATCTCATTCTTACAGGAATTGTTTCCTGTCCTTTGGCATCTGTCAAAGCTTTTGACAAATTCACGTGCATACCTGAACATAGAAGTCCAACACAGTCCAGCTTGCAGAACCTTGATTGCCGTTCTTTGACCGTTGAAATGTCCACCATAGGGAGAACTGTGGCATTTGTGCAACACTTCTGTGAACTCAGGTTCTGGAATACACCTTTTGATCGATTGGTCTGCACATTTTTTTAATAGGTAGGGTTCATCCCATAGGTAGAGTTGAGCATCATGGAGGAACCTTTTGCACTGTTAAGGGGTGAGATCTGGAGGAATAATACCAACAACAACAAAGTTAGCAAAATCTGCAAACCAAGGCCTGTTACCTGTCACTCCCATGAGTGTGCCTGTCACTCGCCAAAGTGACTCATCAGGGAATTTTTCTGAAATTAGAGTTGTGTCTTCTGGAATTTCTTCGAGTCTTGACAGATGGTTTGCTACCTGATTTTCAGCACCCTTTCTGTCTCTTATCTCCTAATTGAATTCCTGCAACAACAACACCCATCGAATCAACCTAGGCTTAGACTCTTTATTATTGATCAAGTACCTGATGGCAGCATGGTCTGTGTAGACTATGACTTTAATTCCTAGCAAATAAGCTCTGAATTTGTCAAATGCAAACACAATTGCCAGCATTTCCTTCTCTGTAGTGGTGTAGTTGATTTGTGCAGGGTTGAGGGTTTTACTAGCATAGTAAGCCACATGCAACACCTTGTTCCTTCTTAGACACCAACTGCAAAATCATTAGCATCACACATTAGTTCAAAAGGCTGTGACCAATCTAGTGTGATGATTACAGAAGCAGAGATGAGTTTCTTTTTCGGTTCAGTAATTGCATTTAAACAAGATTCATCAAAAATAAAAGAAGTGTCTTTTTCAAGCAAGTTGAACGATAGTTTAGAAATTTTTGAAAAATCTTTAATGAACCTCCTGTAAAAGCTGGCATGGCCTAGGAAACTCCTTACTCCCCTAACTGTGGTTGGTGGGCTGAGCCTCTCTATGACTTCAATCTTTGCCTTGTCCACTTCAATTCCTTCCTGTGAGATCTTATGTCCCAAGACAATCCCTTCAGTTACCGTAAAATGGCACTTCTCACAGTTGAGGACTAAGTTGGCTTCTATGCATCTCTTCAATATCAATCCAAGGTTGTCCAGGCATGCATCAAACGACTTACCAAAAACCC